GGCACAGATTCGCATAGTCATTAAAAGGAAAAAAAATAAAATAAAGATCATCACCAACAAATCCTTGGAAGTTACCTCCCCGACTGTCTTTGCGAGAAGGTTGGCTACTGCGTTCTAATCAACTGGTAAAGCGATTGGTCTTTGTGTTAAAATTGCACGCAGTAGTGAACTTTCCTTCGACACTTTCCTTTTACACTCGGAACAATAATTCATGTCTTACGAAGTACTGCTCTATCTTCCATTTATGAAGTCTCTTAACGTTTTCGCTATGTGTGAAGCCGCGACTATGCCGTGACCTTTTGCAACTGCAGCACAGCGCGCTAGCCGGTCCACCATGGACTGACGAAATTGGTGAACAGTTCTTTCGTTCACCTCTGTTCTATTAACAACTTCCAGTATGTCCTTAACTCTTACATCTGTTGGCGCGGTTCCTGCAAGAAATTGTATTATTCTGGCAGTGATGCAACATACATAAACACCACAGTCCGTGAAATTGTTCTGCTGCGTGCATTCCGCATGCAAAAATTTACATCCTAGAAGATCTCTACATGTCACCCAGGACGTATCAACCTTTTCCGGAGTCAACACCCTCGCGTTGGATGCCTCCTAAAGGTACTCGTACCATAGAAATGTTCGCAAGGCCTTCCATTCCTCTCGTTTTTCCCCTTTGAAGGAGTCAACAACGATGGCAATAGGAGGTTCGTCGATATTGTTGTCCTCATTGACTGCCAAGAAGTCTCTCACATTCAGCAACAGAAGCAAAACCCAATGTTTGTTATGGTTCAGAGGTATTACAGTAGTTGTCGTGCGTCCCAATTCATTGCTTAATCAATGCAACTTTCGTGGTCTGTTCTTGATCGCGTCTTCCCATCCGTTTTTCATCAAATGCACTTTTTGATTACCAATGATCTGGGGTGTCAAAAAGTTGTACACACATGGACTATGAGGCTGTCCCGGGACAGCGAGTGTTTTTCATACACAGACTGCAAAAAAATATCGATAATGTTGTCGTTCAGCCATTCATTTTCGGTCAATCGTACAACGTCGGATTTTGTTATGGGGATGGCATGGTCCATTGATTTCCACGTGAAGGGGAAAAATTCTTCGTCATCATTAATGTCTATCTTCTCTTCTCTCCTTCTGGTCATGTCCCCAACTTTCGCCTTTCCCTTAATGTCGGATGACTCTTCAACCATCAGCTGGGAAGACTTTACTTTACTCTCCGTCATCATATCGTACATTTCCTCGTACCAAGGGTCCTTCAACATTTTCTTCCACCGCTTCACCGACCTCTCACTGCTCAGTGGCAACAATGGTTCGCTTAAGACCTCTCTGCATGGCTGTTCGTCGTTATTTTTTGTCCTGGAACTGACCGCCGTTCCTGTACCCACATACGAACAATTCTTGCCGCCACCACCCGTGTTGCTTTTCTGTGACTCTGTCATGCTCACTCGGCTTCTCTTACCTACACCGTCTTATTTAGTGGTCAGTGTCGCTCCTTCCCGAACAGCGCGCGAGGTCCCAAGTTTGTCTTTCTGTTCACACGTGTCGGTCAAATTGGCATGACACACACAAATTGTTATGTTTTGGGGTACTTGCAATGATTTCTATAAAATACTTGAGAGAGAGAGAGAGAGAGAGAGAGAGAGAGAGAGAGAGAGAGAGAGAGAGAGAGAGAG